GCCTTTCTTTGTTGGGAAAATAGAATGGAGACAGCAGTGTTCTTCTGTTAGGTGGTGCCATCGTCTCCCACCCCAGGTTAATAAAAATAGTATAGGAGAACGTGTTGGCTTTCTGTGCCTTTTGTAGTTAAACTTCACTGTGATTATTCATACTTGCACTTAGGGTTAAGAAGTTAAATAGTTCTGTGAGCTGCTTTCCCTCAGGTTCATGGCCATCTTTTTCCCCAGCCCACTCCCCACACATAACCGCTTTCACTGCTTTTGTCTGATTCCTCGTCCCTTGTGTACTTGTAGAATATAGTGATTTTTGTCAGTTGTGGGCCCTATCTGTCAGCTTAACGTTATAGCTAAGTAGGATTTAGCTCTCTTCTCTTTTTCTGCTTTACCTTACATAGCTGCTGCCAATTCTGGGTCCTGCTGTGATGTGCTAGTTTTGAAGATCATTTATACTGTTCATGTTACTATAACTGTGAATTCCTTTCATAGATGAGCTGTCCAGTATACTGTCATATGTGATGACTTTCAGTCTTGCTCAGCATTTGTCTATCTAGTTCGGAGTTGCCTGTTTTGTTTGCCTATGTGCAGTAGTTAGTGATGTATTCTTTCATCAAAAGACAGGCTTTGTCATATGTGATATTGCAGCTATTGATGCTACATGCCTGGTCCATAATTCAATAAAGGGTTGAAAAACTAATATTTTAATGCTGTCATTACTACTTCCTTAACAGTGATCTATAAAAAAGCTTTCTGTACCTGTCCTTCTACATGTTTGCTTGTTGTGTGCAAAATGTGGAATAAGTGCTGCTTTCCCGTTGCTTCCAAGTTCCCTAAATGATGACTGGTCATCCCTCCATGTTCACTCTTCCTTGTGATTTGTGAATGACTTACCTAGTTTCTATTTTTAAGAAAAAGTCAGTATGATGGCATGCACTTGCAAAATCACGGCACTGTGGGAGGTTGAGACAGGAGAGTTGCATACTTCAAGCCCATAGTGGGAGTCTCAGTGAGTCTCTGTCTCAAAATATAAAAAATGAAAAAGGCTGAGTATGTAGCTCAGTCATAGGCCCTAGGTACAGTCCCTGCTTTTACAAAATTAAATAAATAAGTCAATCGATAGATATTTTTTATCAATCTTAAATTTATGAGTTTGGACGGCTTAAGCTACCTAACAATTTGGAATTTGTAACTAGTACTTTTTTATCTCCCAGCAAGATAAAGTAGAAATCTTGCAGTTATAGGAGCACTTCAGAGGCAGAGAATAGTAAGCTGATAATTACCCATCAGATCATGACATGCTGGTTTTTTTTTCCCAAATGACATGTTATATAACACAGCTTTTGAAAGTACTTGAAGAACAGCGCCACATTCATTATTAAGTAGTGCTTTAGTTTTAATTTGTATATATTAGTATAGTCTCATACTGGCTTTGCTTATGACAGTAACTTACACATGTGAAGAATCTTAATAGTGCATGTTTCATTTCTTTACCTATTCCTTAGAGAATACAGGTTTTATATTGGGTGGGAGGAGAATGCAATTAATTATTCATCACTAAGCATATACTGTGGTGAATTGCTAACCTTCAAAGGTACCCTGACATCTTTAGATAAGAATAATAGTTACTAGATGAGTATTTCCCTCTCCATGTGCTTCAGGCACATTTTAAAAGCATCATATAGCATATAGTTACAGTGTACATTTATAACTGCAATAAGTATTCAATTTCTCAGAACTGTGATGAGAAATGCTATAGAAATTATCATTTACCATGTGCTAATTGTTAGATAAGTTCATTTTAATCAGCGAATGGAATCAGGTGAGTTGCTTGTGCTTTTGACAGTTGAAACTGCGATCTCTTTTTTGCAATTATCATTTCCTCGCTTCCTTCTTATACTGTGCGTCTTTTTTCTTGCTCTTCTGTTCTGTTTTAAAACTTCAAAATGTTATAGTCCTTAAGGTTTCAGTCTACTGATCTTTCAGTGCCATGTGCTTTTCCATACATAGACTCCTCACTGTCTCTGACTTTGATTTGATGGCCACCTGTGCACCATCTTTTTATTCTTCAGCCCACATCTTTTCTCTGTATTTAACTAACCTGACTTGCTCCTCTTCCAAATTGGGCACCTACCCCTTTCGGGGTTGGTGTGTGTGTGTGTGTGTGTGTGTGTGTGTGTGTGTGTGTGTGTGTCTTCTTGAATATTGTAGTACACAAAAAGTATTTCACAATGCTGTTTTGTAAAGTGCTTTTTTTTAAAAAAAGATTTCATTTAAACATCTTATTTTCTTTTTTTTTTTTTTTTTTTTTTTTTTTTTTGAGACAAGGTCTCGCTATGGAGTTCAGGCTGGCCTTGAGCTCACTCTGTCGCCCAGGCTGATCTCCAACTTGCAACAATCCTTCTGCCTCAGCCTCCCGAGTGCTGGAACTACAGCTATACGCCACGATGCCTGGCTCATTTAAACTTCTACAGACCATTAATAATATGGCTTTGGAATAGATTGATAGTTTTTATCTTACCAACTCACTCTAGAATAGAAATGAAAAACATATTGTTATGATCTCCATTTTCATAAAATTATCAGTATATTCTACAACTAGACATTTTATTGCGTATCTGCATGAAAAATTCTAATACTGCTATAGCTTTTACATTTGAAGTATTCAGTGTCTTCTTTTGGAAAATAAATACAAATAAATTTCCAGGCATTGTGGTGCATGCCTATAGTCCCAGCATTTGGGAGGCAGAAGCAAGAGGACTGCCATGAGTTCAAGAACATCCTGAAATACATAGTGAGACTCTGACTCACTCAAAAAGATTAACTTTGAAAGATAACTTTTTTTAAGCTTTCACACAAAACCATTCATACAAGTGCTACATTGAAATTGGTTTTAAGTAGTTACTGAATTGGTCCTATGTATTTTTGATGGTAGTGCTAAGACACGAATCCAGGCCCTCTCGTGTTAAAACAAGCACTGTACCACTAAGGTATTCTCCCAGAGCCATACTTAACTTTTGATTCATGTAACATTTTTCCAAGTACTAGTTAAAGAGTAAAATATTAAATGACAAACAGTTGGAATTTCAAGAAAGTCAGGGATTACACTTTGATGATGGATGAGAAAAAATGTGAGGAAGGTGTATCTTACAATAATCATAAGTAAAAAAATGGAGACAAGTCAGATACATAGTTACTGCATTTTGTTACTGTTATCTTTCTTATTAAAGAAAGGTCCAGCTAGGATTTTGAAGAAAAAACTGAATAGGAGATATTACCAGCAGCTTGCTAATTAAGATAGTGAATTTTATGGGAAAAGGTATATTTTATTTCAGTATAATGAGTTTGAAGTGACAGTAGGATGTTGGTGTGAAACTCAAGAATTTGGATGTGGAGATGAGAAATCAGATTCTTCTAACACTTGTTTAAGCTGATTAATAAAAGTTTAAATTAATAAATGCTTCCTTAAGAGAATTTTGCCTTTTTATATACTAGACCTGGCATATTAAACTATTTTTTTCCCTGCCATAGTTCACAAAGATATCTAAAACTAATGGCTTATCAGAGGATTTGATATGGAACTGTAAGACACTGATCCAAGAAAGGGATGTAGTTATAAGACTTATGAACAAATGTGAAGACATTTCAAATAAATTGACAAAGCAAGTTACCATGCTCACTGGAAATGGAGGTGGATGGAACATAGAACAACCGTCCATTCTAAACCAAAGGTAATATTTATTAAACACTGTCATTTATCTCAGTTATAAAAATATTTGACCTTATTTTTGCAGTGTGCCTAGGGACATTAAATAAGATGCCACAGCTATTGTCAGGAAAGAACCCCCACCCCTATTCCTACAATGGCATGTCGTGGTGTATGAATGGTTTCTCACTGATTTTCTTTTCCCCCTACCCTGAGCAGGGTATTTGATTTTTTGTCATTGTATATTGGTGGGGCAGAATGGTATGATCTTGTATAGTCTTATCTCTTCCTTATCTGATAACTTACAATTTTTTATATAATCATAGAAACTAAAAGGTGGGTTTTATCCCTGTAAGTTTGATGTTTGTAAAAAGGTCCATTACTTATTTCTGTTACTGTAAAAGTTTATGAACCCATATAATTATGAAATTATTAAAATATGCTATATCTGTGGTAAAATATTTTTTGAAAAGCCCAGATTTGTAAGTCTCCTATTGAGGTAGAAACACTTCAGGAAGGAAAAAGAAAAGATATTTGTATTAAGTAGATACATAACTCCCCCAAGTTGTTACTTCTGATGAAGTACCTTGACAAAACTCTTGCAAAAAATAAACACTAAAGATTGTTCAGCAGTCAGCAGCCATTAAAATGGCTTTTTGTCATTGAGAACTGCCACATTTGGCATGCTTTTGAGGAACTGGGTTGGGAAATTGTTTTAAACTTCCTTTAAAAGGTTATTTTAAGTAGTCTGGAGATTCAGCACTGTTCAGAGTACCCTTTATAAAAAAAATACAAAATTGTTTGCTGTGATGTTATTTATAGCACTAAGAACATGGAGATAATCCTAAAATCAGGGAGTAATTGGAATGAATTATGGTTTATCCATACTGTGCAATGTTGTGTGACTTTATGAACATCTGTTCAGAATATTGCTCATAGGTATTTTAGTAAAATGAGCACTAAGGCCTCATTAAAATGATTGCCTTAGTTGTTGATTTTAATTTTGGTATTTTTCTAAGTTAATGATCAAAGCATATTTGCTGATCATTGGTTAATAATTAAAAGTCAAGTTATAAAAAAGGATATGGTTACTGGCCTTTAACAGTAAGCGACAATCTTTTCTGTGCCCTTCTAGGGTGCTATGGGATGGTGTAGGGGAACGTGATGCAGTTCCCACAAAAGAAGCTCTTTTCTCTGTTGCATAGAAAGAACTATATCAGCAAATTCATCTCCTAAAAGTGTAGTTGGAGCTGCTGCTTCTTGTTCTCCAGCATTGGATATGGGGAGCTCTTCACTCTACAAGACTTACCCAGTTGAGTCTACTTTATCATAATTTGGATTTTAAAAATCAAGTGCTTTATTGCATCACTTAAAAATTTTTCTCTTAAACCCATATTCACAAAAGTTGTAAATAGTATGATCCGGTAATACACTATCCTTTTCATTAGACTGAGGGTTTTCGGGGTTTTTTTTTTAAGTACTTGATCTAATCCCAAGTACAACTCTCAAAGGCTTTAGAGATAGTCTGTTCAGATTTTCTTTAAATGAACTTTTAGGGGTGGAATGTATTGTCTTGGTTTTTATATTTCAACCAATATAAGAGTTGCAGAAACAGTTTTTCTTTGGTGTACTGGCCAGGCAGTGTATTAACACACACACAAAAGCATTAGGCCATCCTGATGGATATCTTATTGTGCTTGTATCTCTTATGTGTGTGCTGGGGATCCACACACACATGTTCCACAAGTGCTCAACCAGTGAGTACACCCGAAGCCCTTGGATAGTTCCCTTCACAGAATAAAGGCTTGGTAGTAAAGTATGCTTTGAAGCAATACTAATATTGTTTAGTTTTCCATTGCAAGTTTATGTGTACATTGTGATAGAAAATTTGCCTTTTAGAGATTGACATTTTAGAATTCTTGCTAAAGATAGTTTTGGAGACAGCTGGGCATGGTGGCTTAAACCTATAATCCCACTACTTGGTAGGCTGAGGTAAGAGGATGTCCAGGAGTTCAAGGCCAGCCTGAACTACATAGTGAAATTCTGTCTCAAAAGAAAACAAAAGTTGGTAGAGAAACATAAAATTTCTGGTCTAAACCATTGTACAGTTTTTATTTTAAAATGTTAAATATGATACAGTGAAGGAAAGGGAGAGAAGACTCAGAATTTCACTCTTAT